GGTCATGTGGATAACAGTATAACGGTGAATTTAGTTATTCTCTTGGATTGGTTTTATCCAAGAATAAAACCTTACTTAGAGGACCTGGCTGCAATTAGGGAAATTTGGTTAGTGAATGATAACGAAACTCCGCTAGGGTGTTCTGACTAGCGGTTAGGATAATTCGACATTTCGTTTATGACAAATAAACTTGGAAGTAATGTTAAAATCGAGGCCGAAAAGTGAGTTTATTATCATTACTGTTCACTGCGCCGTGTTTTTCACAAACACATCTCATAATCCAACCATATGGGCCATCGTTTTTCCATTCATTCCGAACCTTGTTCGGTTCGACGAAATGAGAATAAAGTTTTGACAGTGCTTGAAAAGTAAAATAAAAATCCCATGCACGTCTCACCTCTGTTCACGGAAATATGATTTTCAAACTCGCCGAATTCATCAAAACTTATTCACCGAGAACGCTTCTGTGAAATGTTTTACAGTAATATCCTCTGTCAGGAGTCGGTCGGCAATAAAGGACTAACATTTTGGGGCAGTCATCTGATGCCAACGAATCTCTGCCTCCATTCCTTTTATCGGTGTTTGGCTCCTGTCTACAACATTCAATTCATATTTAATCAAAGTTTTCTTTTGCTTTGATCTAAAATAATTGTCGTTGATTTTTTTGATTGTCTAGGAGAGGGGCAGATTTGTCTAACTGAATTGGAGGTTTGTTACTTATAATGGATTTTTTTCACTTGCTTGCAGAATACTATTATCAATGCGTGCATAATGAATTACCACGAGGCAGGAAGTAGAAATGGAATCAAAGTTTATGAGGCTAAACAATCTGGAGCTTCCCGGATAAAAACTAGTGGCATGCTATCTAGGAGCTTTAAAACAGGCTGCTCCAAACAGCCTTTTCGAAGTTTACTTCACAGGTGAGTTGTCACAAATAAATGCGTTTTACTTTCAAAAGGAAAATAAAGTTGGCACGCAACTTGATGATTGTTCTCTGCAAGGTAAACAATTTGTTTCACTCTAATGAAGACGAAAAACCAAAGTAAAAATCACGGAAAAGATTAATACAGTCGGGTTGAATTGTGTAAAGTAATTTTTGATTCACCAGCACAGATTGTCCTTTGCAGGAGATGACGGTTGCAATCGCGGTGGCAATCGAGCGATAAAAGCTCTCAGCTCTATATCTTTTAGCTTGTGTTGCCAAACACAACGCAACCGTATTTCAGTTTGACTGGTGATGATCTCGTCCTTGAAACAGATTTTGTAACTGTTTCATATCAAACACGCCAGCATAACACAATTCTTTTTAGCAACGCAGGAAACTGAACAATGTAGTAGCTAAATCAGCCGTGCTTATGGAGGCTAGCTTTTCACTGAATGAATGCCTAAGGGAAATGGATATCAAAAATAAACATAACTTGTCTACGGCTCAAGGTTATTATCACTGTTATTCTCTGTTGTTCTATCCTCTTTAATATTCTGCTGAACTTGTCCAGATAAGCTGCTTTAATTCTCACTGGTTGATGTTTATGCCATTCAGGGAATCAGTCGTCAGAGTTGAAATTCATGCGTGGCGAACCATACTGATATGCACGGAAAGTCATGAGGATATACTGTGTGAGCCTACTAGTATGCTAGTGATTAGCTTCCTCAATATGCTGCAGAAAAAGGTTACTCAAGTGAATTGCTAATAAACCATTTGTTCATTTGGCGAAGGTTTTCGTAAAGATGCAGAGTTGTTCCCCGGATTGAAAAATGATCATATCGGGAAAATAATTAAGAACAGAAGTGACAAAAGAAAAAGAACACAACCAGATTAGAACACACGTCAATCATCAAATGTAGTTATACATTTAATAATAACTGTTATTAGTTTAGATTCGAAAGTTGCAATTTGGGTAGCTCTTACGTGTACTAAACCACTTAGTAAACAAACCATGGTATTGTGGATGAACAATTTTAAGGGTGGGGGAATGAATTTGTTCGATATGCACTACAAAGAATCAAAACATGGAAACTGATTCAATAGGCAAGAAGTTTAAAAATTTTCGGTATATATGTTTTATGAAGATGGCTTTGAGTAATGGAACGAAATGCGAATAACAGCGTTGAACGTAAAAGTAGGGACTGTAGAATGACAAAATGTCCTATAACGACCCCTTTTATTGGGATGAATTGATAAACGTCATAAAATACAAGGAGGACATAATCACTCAAACAATATTTGCTCTAGATAACTGCTTATTTTGTATCGTAATATCCTTTAATTTGTCCTTTATGTTTTGTCTGCACTTGAATGAGAAAGCAAATCTTCAGTTTTTATTTCTTCCATGTCTCCAAGAGTATAGATAATTTCAAGGTAAATTTATATGCTTTTGAGGACAAAACACGAAATAGCAAACTGGCTCGTCTTCGATAACTTTCTCATCTGGCTAATGCAGTTATATAAATAGGTAAAAGGCATATCACATTTGACGTGTGTGTGGATTGGATTAGTAGATATAATTAGTTGTTTATGTGTGGTTCACAAACAAAAATGGAGTGGTGGGTGGATGGGAAAGGGACGTGTCACAACAGGGATTAGGACAGAGTCAAGGTTGACCATCACTGGTTTGGGGTACGTGGTCAATCGCAAGGGTCAAGCAGTCAAGTTAAGAGTCAGCTCCAGTCGTGCAACTGAATTCTCTCTGTGGCCATGGCAGTTGAAGTGCTTTAACGAATCGTTTTTGGGAACAAGCGATGGGTTAACCAGACGGATGGCTACTGCCTCAGTTGTTGCTAAATGTTGTTGGCAAACAGCCTTAGATGGATAAGGAGGAACCTAGTGGATCACCGTGAAAGCGTCGTCATTCACAGTATGTCCCGTATTTGCGAGGTGTTCCACGATGGCGCTTGTCATGGTTTTTCTATCTCCAGTAGTCATTCAGGTTGGTTTATGTTCCTTGATTCTCTGGGAGAACTGCCTGATGGTTCTATTTATGTCGCTTGCCGAACATGAGCAAACAAAGGATTAGGTAATCATAGAAAACGTATAAATAAGCACTTTATCTCTGAGATTCATGGAAATAATTGGTCGATTGGTGAACTGAAGGCGTAAAAGTGCTGCGGGAAATGTGCTTGCGAATGCTCTTTCCAAGCGTCGGATGATTAGCTCACTTTCGTGCTCCCTTTTGTAAGGAATTCGCATGTATAAGTGCTGTTATAGGAGGTTCCTTGGGTGTCTCAGATAGTTTTTTTCTGAATAAACCGTTCCGGTTAACCATTGGATATAAGTGTTGGTTTTATATTCTCCAGTTCTTGTGGTGTGCCTTTCTCCTAACATACCCGAGTTCAATTTGATTGAGAATATGTTCACTGGGCTCACTTTTACTCCGTTTTGGATAAACGCAGAATCTGTGACTAAATTTCTAACTTGGTGGAACTGTGATCTGAAGTGCTGCATCCGTTATTGAAGAAAGGGAAGGACTATCGGTTTATCGATCGATTCGCAGCTTATGTGCAATTTACTTGACGAGGTGCTTGTGAATTGATGGGTTTATAGATAAGTCAGTTCCAGTTTTAAGATTACGCAGCCGTTAGCCATACACTTCACTGTGTATACGTACATGCATGCTGGAAAGAGTTTGAATTTGGCGGAAAATGACAAAAAGCACCACAGAACGCGTGCTTCAGGTTTAGGTTCTGATTATTGAGATTTTTACCCGAAGACACTTTTATTTATGCCGGTTGCATTTAAGAGGCTCAGGAACGTCCACAGTGGGCTGAACTCTTATACGTCGCTCCGTTATTACTTCAATAGTTATCTATTGCACGGTATTTACGAGCCCGATGTTATAAGAAACAAAAACTAAACACTTAAAAAAGAACGATGAGGTTTACATAGTTCTTGCTAACACCGTATCACAAATAAACAACTACACGTGTGCAAGGCAGACAAATCACATACTAGTGCGCACAATACGTGTGATAAGCAGAAGTGTTTCACGAAATTTGCCCAAGTTTGCTACGTTCCATTCTTTCTGTTGAAACGCTCAATCGAAGAAGTCACACTCCGTAACTGTTGAGTGCAATTTATTCCACTCAGTTGATGTGCGACTTAAATTGTTCAATTTTGTGATGGCCTTAAGGTGCAGTTTACTGACTGTTGTATTAAGTTTTGAAAGAAACACAGTTTTCTTGCGTACATTCTGTGTTCGATAAGAAAAATAGATACATGGTTTTTTTGCTGAACGAGATTATGATCGCCGTCTTTGATCTGAATGACCATCACTTCCTTCGTGATTGTCGATTTAGCGACATCAACGATAATATGAAATAACGAGGTGTAGATAAATTCAAAATAAACTGGTTTCCTTCATTCTTTATAAACACTCCACATGTAAAACATGTAACAAGATAAAGCACACCGGAGATAAATTCATCTCAGTTTTGCCCGGATAAGCATCATACACATTGATAGTACACGATATTTAAAAAAAAACTACCCCGTTATTTCATACCGAGTGCAACGCTTCTAAAGTGTTTAGAGAAATAGAGATAATCTTTTGTGATTCATATCTAAGGGATTCCTCTAGTCAAGACCCTACATGCTCTTTAGGAACCGCGGTTCACGGGGAGACGGCGTACAGTCTGACCCATTCACTTTCCCTTTGGGTGTGGTTTACACGTCCAGGAGCCCGACAGACCGGATCGCCCCATTCATCTGGCGACCATTGTCAGCACTGTTTGATCAAGCTTGATCCTAAACTTTATCTTGTGAAGCTTAATTTATTCCTAATCACCATGACTTTACACAGTTGGGATATTTTATCATCCACTACAGCGCACACGATTCAACTGAAAATAGATGAGGAATAACTGGGCTTAAGCTTATTCGACTTGAACAGGTTGGTTTAAAACACCCTACTACTGAATATCTTTATTCTGCTGGAATGCATTGAGGAAATCCAATCATATTTACCTTGAGAAAAAGCCATTCCTGATGAATAGCATCAACTCACTTATGTCTTGCGCTCTGTTTTGATCACCACGAGCATCTAACTCCACATCTGCGTGACTGGAATCCCAGCGAGATCGCTTGAGTGGAGTCTTAAACGGTCCACTATGTACGACTGTTCGACTGTCTGACGGTGTGGATCGTCGAGAACTGGAATCACGACCGGTCTCCGACCGTGATCTAGGATAGACTCGAGCTGTATCACGTGTTTTGTTGTGGAACCATTTGCGTATCTGCCTGCGATATCCATTTGGTTTCATCCCGTGGATGCGGTCAACATTTGGAGCTCTTCCCGAAGGTGATGCTGTACAGCTGTTATAATGTTGAGGCTGCGCTTGTATTCTGTGTGTGAAGAGAATGTTGTCTGCCTTGATGTCACGATGAAAGATGTTTCGTTCATGCTTTAACACAAATCAGAAAGATAAACAAGGGATACATACCACGCGTGCATTGGAAACATATGTGGCAAATGTTAGAGTTTCAAAAAGCTAGTAAAGTTGACAAAAAAAGCTATTGTGTAGGCTCGAGTGATTAAAGAAGCTAGTCATTTTTGTTTTAAAAGAACCCTAACATACGAATATGAGCATTTATATATATCATATATATGTATTCCTTCTGGAAGGACAACTTTGGAAAACAGTTCAGGCTGGATCGCCCAATAACATCAAAGTGCCTGGTGCCTCTGAACGATTGAATGGACTAATCCAAGCTTGATACTCTAACATGAACCGTCCATTATTTTAAAATCTTACATCAATTTGTTTCAGTTTAAATGCTATTAGCAATCTTACTGATTCAGTTTCAGACTAAGCACGGAGTAAATGCCGAACATCTCATAACGACTTAGTACAGATGTGGGTCTTCTGGAGTCAAAGTTGTTTGCTAATCAACAAATGGGTTTCCACGGTGCCCGATGTTTGCCGAAGTATGCAGTGGGTGGGAAAAGCCAAGGGTGGTCAAAATAAGTCCGGACACAAGGGTCTAAAAGTCCTAACCAGGAGACTTAGTCAAATAGGTTGCGTTAAGCTCCCTCGAGATCATGGTGACTAGCGGTTAGATACACTGAATGATACGGCTGAGTGTTGCAACTAGTAGCGCTTGTGCATGTTCTCAGTTCATAGGTAACCTTAGTCCATTTCAGTTTTCCATTTTCTCCTCAAGCCTACTTTCACGTTTCATGTCCTTCTGGGACTACTTCAGGCAAATAGGCAACGGAAAGACAGTAACCAAAACCGGTTGTGCAAATTGAAAAAATAAATTACTGGTTATAACATTCTGGTGATTTTACACGCGCAAACATCGCCTTATGCCTCTGCGATGCTTACGCTTTAACCAACCTTGTTTTTTTCTCATGGCTTTATCAGAGATTAGCAAAAAAAGAGAGCAAAACTGATTTTTCTGGACAAACACTTAAAAGATGCGAACGTTAACCAGTTTACAGATACAATACCATTTTAGAAAATAAATAATGTGTTATTTAACTGAGAAGCGGGATTCGTCCACTTTGGCGCTCTATGAGGTTCAGCTTATGACTTGGTCACTTATAGACGTTCACACACTGACATTTACATTCACAATGTCAGATCTTATTGGAATTCTACAACAAATATCACATTCACAGTTTAAATGTATCGTTGGATAACCGTAACTGACAGCATAACGAAAGTAAAAATGCAACCATAAAGCAGGAAATAGTTTCATAAAGTTATGAGTAATACCAACTGAAGGAATCCAGACCAGTTTTGACAACAGCGGTCGTAGGTATTAACTGTCCCTTCTATTTTGAATAAAAACACAAAGTCACGTTGGGGTGCAGAAGGAAAGCAACTCAGACTGCTATCATCTTTTGTACTTATAATGCCGAGGCTGGGATGAAACAAGTCTGAAAACAAAACCGAAGAGCTGTTGCTCTTTTCATCGTCATATTTTTCTTCTCGATAGATGAGTTTTATCTTTCCTCATTAAATAGAACTCAATTCACTGTGTGGAATTCTGTTCGTTTTTGTTTCTGGGAATGACAAAGTTCACGGTCTAGGAACAAAACCACTTTTGTTTGTTGAGTTTAATTCTTTTTGCACTGCCTCCGGTATTGAACTCGGAAAAGAGTGCATAAACGTATATTCCTAGTGCTTCACCGGTTCTGCACATGTCAAACGAAGTTGCCCACACCCAAACACAAATAAATGGAGATATAAACAAGTAAATTACATAGATAGTTAAACGTTCCAAGTGAAGGAAACGACAAAGCTTTAAGAGCGTCATTTAGAGTTAATATAAGGTAATATAGACTAGGCAAATAAAGTTGCTGATAAAAAAGCGGGTGCTTTTTGGAACCTGAAATGTCGAAACACTGCATCGGTATTAGATTTGAATTAATTGTTCTCTCTCCAGATCGCAATCCCTAAGGCTACCAAATGCAATCGAGTAGTTTTATAAATCTTCGATGATTGATTCAAAGAATAGCCATGCATTTAAGGTGGGGATTATTTTGAACTTAACTGTAATTCTGTTTTTGTCCTTCATTAGTTTCTCAGATTTTAAAGAATTTCCTGCAATCGAGTGGCCGGTTTTGAAGGAGAGATTTATTATCTCAGTTGTCATGTGGTTTCTGATTATTCATTCTCTACGAATACGTAAACATCTTTGAGCTCGAATCTTCACATTTCTTTTTTCTGCCCTGAGAACTGGCTGCGTCTGTTAAAAATGTATCTAGTCCCGGAAAACAAATTTTCTCAAAAATATGGACATCTGCTATAATTTTCAATTGAGACACACTTCCAGCACTTGTTTCCATTGGATGGCTTATTGAGAGGTTATTAACTAGCTTTCGCAATATGAACTTTGTCAAGTCTACATCACATGGAAGAAACAGGATGGTAGCCCCAAGCGATATCATAATGCTACCTTCAATCTGGTGATTTTATTAGTATGCACGAACAACTGCGATCCCTCCATCTAATGATCCGCCTAATGTCCAGGATTGAACGACTATGCGCAAACAGCAACCGGATTTTGTGAAAACAAAAGGTTTTCGGTAATTGGCAATTATTCACATGATGCAATGCAGAGTCACATTGATTAATCGCTTGAGCCTGCCGATTGATCAAGATATACAAATGTTTTAGAAATCAGAAGTGACTGATCAATGGAGTGCTTTAAAGTATTAGGAGAATGGGAGAGTCGAACGTTCTCGGCAGAGCTTGCAATCCTAACCACCGAGGCGTTACTCAAAACGCTTGAACAATGTCATCCACAATGACAGAAATGATCCAAAGATTTTTCTCATAATTCCTGGAAATGGTTAAAAATAAAGTACCTCAATTATATTGCACAATAAATAACTGCGGTTTTGTTCTGTTTTGCTTTTATAGTTTTATTCAAATGAAATACTGTAACTGCGGATTAGCTAATGTGGAAATCGCAATTGGTATTTCCACTAACGGGTTAGATTAAGTGAAGTGCACAGTGCCTAAAAATGCGATCAATTGGAGAATTTTCACGCTTCAAACGATCATTAGGTTTAAAGAGATACACAAGTAATAATACCCTAAGTAATTCCAGGGGAGATACATCATGGAGACTGTAGATATATATTTTTGTAAGTTCAAACAAGGATCATCTCGAAAAGGTAATTCAATTGAAGCAGAAATTGTTTTGTGAGCTCAAACGATCTGTGATTCTAAAAACACTGGAAATATTCATCGAAACAGGTTTAAACAAACGGTATTCTTCTGTACTATTTAAGTTTCAGGTTGGGACAAAAGTATTATTCACGTGAAAAAGCTAGATTTACAGTCTACCTCATGCTTTGAAGCTCATTTAAAGAGGGTTTTTGTTATATTAGTGATCGTTCCATCTGAACAGTACTTGGAGCAAAACAAATCGAAAGAATAATCTTATTCCTTGCTCATTCGATTTTGATATGTCACTGCTGTGAGTTACAGAAACTATAAATTAAAAACTCTAGAAAGTGATAAAAAGTTCAGTGAAATTATCGTTTATATACGCAATCGTGTTCGGCATATATATTTGATAAAATGGGTCGCCAAGATAATAATAATACAACATTTGTCGGTTCTAAATTATTTTATTTATACAAACATATCATTCTGCACGTAACCTAAAGCCTCAGGACAAGAAGCAGCAGTTAATCATGAACTCAGTGCTCCCAGTACGTTTATTCCGAGTGCTCTTCACAAACGCATGCATGCAAAACTAATTGATTACTTAGTAGCAAAAGGTACAATCTATCTGTCCAAACGAGTCACGCCCAAAAGATCATATTAATTTATCCATAGTAGAAGTGTATAAACCGGCCGGTAATGTCAACTGAATAGACACTTTCAGAGAGGTTCTATGTCACGTGAAATCACGTGGAATGAATCCGACTATGATGATAATCTGATGTGCATAGGCAAGATACAAACTCCTTATAACTATCTGTACTCTTTCCTATTTGTGTTGAAGACCTGTTTCAGTAAAACTATTGCACAACTCCCCTCCGCCGATCGACAAATTATCATTGATCTAATAAGCACTTTTGCAGACATCATGAGAGTCTTTTGAAAAATATTCAATCACAAAAACGATAAAGCGTTTTCTGTCTGTTCCCAGGTGTGTAAGAACTGATGTGCTCAATAGAGCGATATCGGTGCGTGAACGTTTCTTGTGACAACAATGCGTTTATTTTAAAACACACTGGCAAGAAAGCCAGTTGCTTTCTAGTAATACTCGTTTTGTTTTCGTTANTTTTCGTTAATATTCTGTCACAGTAAATGTGGACACTGAAGATCATGTGTACAATACTTAATCAGAATAAGATTGCATCGTCTGAGAAATATATTGAACAGCTTGCTTCTAGGATAACAAAAGGTTTATTTATAAGGTATAAGGTTCATGTAAGTTATTGGACTGTGGGTATTCGCTGATTATACCTTGGCTTAAGAAAGTGTATATTTGTCTGTTTTAACCTAGGCTTGTTTGTGAACATGACCTACGAAAGAATCCTTAGATATGGCAATTTTTCGATAACTTACCAGGTGATTTACAGCAGCAATTAACTGTGCAAAGATGATTTTCGACTCGTGCTCCGTAAATTTCCCATGGCTATTGATTCTTTTGTTCAAATCACCTCCGGCAACAAATTCCATGACCAAATGCAACCTTGTTAGTGTTTCCATGACCTGGAACAAAGTGACGAGAAATTGGAAAACGCAGATTTAAAAAAAATAGGACTTCGATCGAAAACGTGTTGTATTCC